ACTAGATTTACTTTGATTACAAGATTTTTTTTAAAAATTGGAGCATTCTGAGTGCATCTGAGCAGTAATTTTGATGTCTAGAATGCAAAAATTTATCAGATCCGGTCCCCCGGACACCTGCGGACCCCTCTTTGCCCATTTCTAAGTTTTTATAACAAATTTATATATATATTTAGTAAATCTTTATCAGAAAAACTAGCCCTAAAAAAAATTTGGATGGAATTTTTTAGGGCACTTTGAAATTAAAGAAGGGGGGGTCCGGACTCCCCGGACTCCCCGGACACCCCCCTAGATCCGCCCCTGAGGAGAGAAGAAGGGAGGAGAGCAGGGCTGCGTGGCTTTTCAGCTCAATGTCCAGCATCGACAGCTCAGCAACTGCTCCTACTGATGGGTGGGGAGGAGAGAGACGATGAACAGGGAGGAGAGAGAAGATGAACAGGGAGGAGAGAGAAGATGAACAGGGAAGAGAGAGGAAGAGGGCTGCATGGCTTCTCACCTCGTTCTCATGCATCGATAGCCGCAGCTGCTCCTGCTGCATCGCGTACTTCAAATTCTCCTCCTTGCGCATCGCGCGCTCCTTCTTCAGCTCGGGACTCCAGAACGTCTTGATGCTGTTCATGCTCGAGCTCAGCTTCTGGTTCGACTGGTCGAGGTCCTGGTGCAGGCCCGAGCACTCGCGCTGCAGGTCGCAGATCTGCGCCTGCAGGTCGAGAATCAGCTGCGAATTCAGCTGCTGCGCGCCGCCGCCGTCGCGGTACGCGTAGCGGTCCGAGTACGACGACGCCTGGCTGTGCGGCCGCTCGATGTCGTAGTCGTGCGGGTCGAGGTACCAGCGCTCGTTGCCGCGGAGACCGCCGCCGTATTCGGCGCGCTCGAGCGAGCGGCCGCGCTGCAGCGGCGGGTAGCGCTCGCCGGCGTGCGGCGCCGGCGCGTAGTCGTACGCGTCGCCGCGGTCCCACGAGCGGCCGCGCACGTTCGTGAGGCTCGCCGAGCGCGCGCTGAGGTTCGCGGGCCGTGGCGGCGACGGCGCGCGCTCCCGCCCCTCCGTCAGGAACGTCTGGCTGTAGGCGGCGTTCACCGACTGCAGGTTCTCGAGCGTCAGCGCGGCGCCGTTGTTGTCGACGCCGCGCTGCTGCTGAGCCTTGCGCGCGCGTCCCGGCGACGCCATCTTGCTCGCGCGCGGCAGCGTCACGGGGCTCGAGCGCGACGACGGTTGCGTCTGGCCGACATAGTTCTGGTCGGAGCGGCGCGGAAGTTTCGGCGAGTGCGTCGGGTACATGCCGTCGGCACGGCGACGACGATGCGATGCTGCTCACTGCTCGTCGCCGTGGCGACCGTGGCTGGGCATCCTCGGCATGGTTGCGAAGCGAGGCGTGGCGGAATCGACAAGCGACGACGGGAAATCTTACGATGCTTGTGTGCGTGCGACGTGTCGCCCTGCCTACTCAGCGTCGATTTTTGCTTCCTAAACACACTGCAGCTATAACGGAAATTTGCCAGCGTCGCACAGCAAGCGACTCGGTCGAGCTGGATGCACTAGCGTGAGAACGATGAAGCAAACATACGCGGTTTTCGAGGAGCGTGAAGGAGACGGAATGTAGACGGATCGTTGAATCCCCGTGTCCAGAACTAAAGGCACAGTCTCACTGTGACTAGTTACTGTTGGTGATACATGTGACGGAATTTCTTATGTGCGTAAACTTGGCGACTATTCCAATGGCAATGTGATTGAATCTATGTTATTGGTTTCCTCCTCGGTTGTTCTGCAGGGGAAAAAGCAGAGATACTTACTGGCATTCATTCTGGCATTATCAGAGGTCTTAACTCTTAATGCATTTATCATCAGTGTAAACAGAGCTGAACCATAATTCATATTTCATACATCTACGCTGCACTTTTCGTGACGTGTTAGGGCCCTACCTCGCAATTATTTTTACATTTAAGTTAGGACCTAAAATGTCTCAGAGACAGTGAGTGCTAGTATTTATGAACCGATGAACCCATTTCGTAAAGTGCAGTGCGTTAGGTTTGAGGGAACACTAGTACTATTCACTAGGGAAGCTGATATATATTCTTGAATGAATGCTCAAAATTACACGAGAACTGTTTTGTACACGATATACAGTGCAGAGCCGCGCGTAGGCTTAGTCGCTTACCATGTTATTCACTAAAATAGTGTAGTATTATTAATAGTAGTTAGTACTATTAACTCGAGTTTGGTATGACCAAGATACGCTGATAAATTCAACGTGGATGATTCACTTACCGTCGGTGGTGAAAGAGGCGCCGCGACAGCGTACATTCACATCTTCCTCCGCCTTCCTCGATCGTCTGCGCTGTACAGCTTCGTACTCGCCGTGCGATCTTTTGTTTTCGGAGCTGCGACTCAGTAACGAGCGATCGCTGAGTTAGACGGGTGCTCGCTTCCACCTCTCGGCTTAGTTACTCCCATTGAGTAAACCAGAACTAAGCCGAGAGGTGGGAGCAAGCACCAGTCTACCACTGAGTAATCGTTTGGCGGCATCTCCGCGCCATCTGTTATCGTGTTTGCGTCTTAAAACGTCAATACCGATGTACGACTTCGTGAGGTGTTCGTGAAAGCCTTCTTCATCATACTTTATAGTCACTGATCTCTATACAATAACAGTTAGTATAGGGAGATCAGTGATTATATGTCTATTCCAAAATACTGCATGTACGAAGCAGCAGATAAATAAATAGTGGTTGACAGACTCAGTTCTACATTGTGTGCATTTGTGGATTGCAGCTCAGGATTGCAGTAGCTTGGTGATGTGTGACACTGTGTGTGTGCCACTGGCATTCCTATTAGCTCAAAATAATTTGTTGAATTTTGTAGCCAGTTTTATTCCGAATTTAATCCATATATGTAGACACGTGCAATTATTTATATATAGTAAGTATAATTAATCGTTGCATGTATTAGTATAGTACTAGAAGCCACAGGGATTGTAACGTACTCCGTGGCCCATAATATTGCTCTTATAACGCTGAGAGGGTCTATCCCCGGAGGACTGCCGGAACGTACCCTGGGTACGTCCGTATACCGCGAACGTACCCTGGTAACTATGATATGCCGGACGTTACTCGCCTACTCAAAACTAACGAGTCATAGGGAGTCGCCTACGCCTACTCCCTAACCCGAACCCACCTACCCTAATCCAACCTTAACCCTAACCCTAAATCTTAACCCTAACCATATAAATAGTGAAGGGGTACGTTCCGGTATACGGCCGTACCAGGTACGTTCGGCCAGTACCCTGGG